AATTATATATATATATATATATATAACTAGACGAACCTTATGGTTGTACGGCAGTGAAGCATCAGTGTCAACACTGATCTTGCTGTCTTTGATGACACTGCTTCTTCGTGAGTCAGACTTTTGAGTCTAAGGCTCAAGGTGGGATACATCAACCGAATCCCACTCTCTCGGCCCGAGCAACTGGGAAGTATCATTTGCCCCCACAGTTCTGTGTCCACCGATGTTCTTCCCTAACCCTTTCCCACCACACAAGCATACGTTGCTGGGTCATTTGATTGCCTATTAACACCTTCCTAAATCCATGAGATCCTTCCCACATATTACATCCGTACTCTGTCAAATCTTCAAGCGGACGATGCTCGCCAAAACAAAAAAATCGTTCAGCTGTAACACCCTTTCGGTTCTAAACTACCATGCCACCAGTAGAAAGCACCAGGGCTGGGATACTGCCAGGTTGCCCAAGCCTAGACGGGGGAGTCGAGAGGCAGATGTCGGGTTCGGACCACGAACCTTCTGGTCAATAAATTCGCGCTCCAACCACGGGCCATCTCGCCCCACTAAAACATACTTCCTTAAAATTGATGTATACTGTCTCTGAAACACGTATACAAGATTCATGCTTGTTTACACATCTCAAAGCTTCGAGGACGAGCTCACCTCTTGCATTTCTCCCTCCGTGTTTCCGCTGATCCAGAGGCGACGACTCGTGGAATATATGGTGTGGGCCTGGCACTCAGCCCTAGACCTGAACCCGCTTTTCTGGATTGGATCCCAGTAAATGGTCGTCTGCGCCGTCCGGTTATCCAACACAGCACCTCTCGACATGAAAAGCAGTGTCTGTTTATAGTGTCGGCTTATGCCTCAAAGACGCGTTCTGATGCTGAGAAGGATACTTTCCATAGAGTTATCCGGGTACATCCGTCAAGCAAGGAGCACTGACATCGTGATCCTTGTGGGTGATATGGATACCCAAGTCTGTCATCTAAGCTCATTCAAGTCACATTTGGGTGGTCGATTCGGGGTCGATGCTGGTCGCGCGGACAACGGAAGGCGATTTCTCTATCTGTGTGCTGGTGATCAACTGCTTCTGGCCAATACGAACTTTCAACATAAACGTTCGCATCGCGTAACCCGGCGGCCACTAACTACCAATCAACCGCTGACCAAGTTGGACCACGTAGCCATCAGCCACCGGTGTAGAGCTACAGTCTAAGAATGCCGTTCCTTCTGGGACACAAATTGATTCCGTTTACGCCATGGTGTTATGTCTGACAGTTCGTTTTCCTTCGGGCCCTCGCAAGTCAGCAAGAAGCATGCTAACTAACCATATTTGATAACCATCTTCGATAACGCAGCGAGCAAACGGTAATATGAGTGGACTATGACGATGGCCCAGCGGTTAGAACGCGGGTTTACCGACCAGAAAGTTCGTGTTTCGAACCCGACCTCTGCCTCTCGACTTCCCCTGTCTAGGCTTGGGCAACCTGGCAGTATCCCAGCCCTGGTGCTTTCTACTGGTGGCATGGTAGTTTAGAACCGAAAGGGTGTTACAGCTGAACGATTTTTTTGTTTTGGCGAGCATCGTCCGCTTGAAGATTTGACAGAGTACGGATGTAATATGTGGGAAGGATCTCATGGATTTAGGAAGGTGTTAATAGGCAATCAAATGACCCAGCAACGTATGCTTGTGTGGTGGGAAAGGGTTAGGGAAGAACATCGGTGGACACAGAACTGTGGGGGCAAATGATACTTCCCAGTTGCTCGGGCCGAGAGAGTGGGATTCGGTTGATGTATCCCACCTTGAGCCTTAGACTCAAAAGTCTGACTCACGAAGAAGCAGTGTCATCAAAGACAGCAAGATCAGTGTTTCTTTCGGGTGCATGGTAGTTTGGCACCGAAAGGGTGTTACAACTGGCCGATTTTTTTGTTTCCTGATTCCGACTCCTAGTGATAAGAATAGGAATAGGAATAGTGAGAAGACGAAACCTGGGACAACTTTGATTCTCTTGACCTTGAAAAATGCCGGAAGTTCCTTAGCAAATAAAGAGGTTTCTTGGGGATATTGGCATCCTTAACACCCCTTGTGAAAAGTCACTAACAAGCTCGACGTGGGTCGACCTGGATAGGTTCCGGCTGGCAGCGGCGTCGATCTGTCCACCGCCTGGGAAGAAGTGCTGGATCAAACACTGATCTGCTGGTCGCACACTCTTCTTTCGAAACTGCATCAGCTTTCAGTTCAAAGGTATCGGGCAATACGTCCAACGGTACGGTACCCGAACATACCGGAGTTTCCCGTATGCTGTTAAAGCGGAGTTGGTTTTGATGTCCGGTCCAGGTGTCTTGACCAATCAACACGTACATCACACTACATCATTAGACTAGGCTCATCATCGTCATTGTCAGCTTACTTGTCGTACAGTGGTTGTAGCTGCCACAATTTCGTTCACCGATGATTCGGGGAGGTGGGGTAGGTAGCTACGCATAGGAGGCGGAGGCTGATAAATTAGTGCGTAGATACAGCACTGTAGGTGAACTGTTAAGTGGGGTAATGGGGCAGGGAGCTATGCATTGAAGGCAACAGCTTGGATGCATGAGCACCATTGAGGGTGCGACTGGGCCATGTCTGACAATGTCTATAGCCATTGATGTGGCCCGTTTCCGGGTCTCCATCCAGAAAGACGGCAATGACCAGCGCAGCTGAGTTTGGTGGTAATGGCTTTTATACTTCGCTGCCAAGTCACCACTTGGCCGCCTCTAGCTCTCTTCCACCTTTCACGTGGTTGTGCGAAAAGAGCCCTTCGAGGAAGTTGATCGACTGGCATACGCACGTGGCCAAGCCAGCGCAACCGATGCAGTGTGATTAGTTCATCTATCGAGGGTGAGTTATTTCTCCCGAATACCATTGGACGTACTTCAGCATTGCTGTTCCGGTGTTCCCACCAGATTCTGGCAATGCTCCGAAGACACTGATGGTCAGCTTGCCACTCTCATGCACCTCGACTCAGTTGGCATCATGGAAGAATGCACAGCTCTTGGCGTATGGCCCATAAGTACCTCTGCAGGTGGTTCGCTTTATGCATCGATAACGGATGTTGAAAATTGACGTCTGCTTACCGAATATTTGCGAAAGCGTGTGAACCGTTTCGTCAAAAGTGCAGTCACGTGGGTTCTTTGGAAGAATATAATTAGCGTACTTATCATGCTCTGCGGGTCCCAGTTTGCGGAGCAGGAGGTGAGCCCTCCAACTATCATCCTGAATTAAAAAGTCGACCCTGAACAGGTCTCTAAAGCGACGGAGCCAGGCATCAAATGTTATGCCAGCCGAGGGTTCATAGCAAAACTCGTTGATACTGCCGTCAGCCGACTGTGGGACGCTCGACAAGGCCGGTGAAGCCAAAGATGTAGCTGATAGTCGCTCCGTAAGTACTTATATGAGTTGCAGGCTTTGTTGAAACATTACTTTGAGTTGATCTGCCTCCATCTTGCGTCGCAAATATGTTATGGTTCCGATAACGCAGCGACCAAACGGTAATATGAGCGGGTTGCGACGATATTCTATCCATTTTCATTTTCCATGAATCTGGGGGGTGTCCTCGCGACACTCAGTCAGTCTCCAGGTTGGCCAATAGTTAGAAGTCTGACGAACACAGTCTCCTGGTCTTCAGGTTGGGGGTTGGGACATATGGCGACTTCTTCCGTAGAAATGGTGATGCACTTGCATTTCCCGCCAAACACCGCTGCCTTGCGGTTAGGCTTTTGAGCCAAAGGCTTTGGTTGAGGACTCTAATCGTCCTCCTGTCTAGATGTGGGCGCCTTGGAAGTATCCCAGCCCTCGTACAACCATGACATTCACGACTAACAATTACTGCTGACGCCTCCTTTCTCTTTCACATACTTTTTCTTCCCCCTCTCCCCACCCCATTAATAACTCTCTCCTTGTAGGCCCAGCACTTAGGACTGATGCTTCCATCCGTCATGCATCGGTTTTGCGTGCAGCATCTGGTCGTCACATGATGCCGACATTTCCAGGTATCTCCAAATCAGTCCACAAGCCTCGACACCCAGTCTCTCTGGCCGCGTTCAATTTCCGCACTCTGAAGCAAGCAGGACAACAAGCTGCTCTTGCACTTACACTGGACTCGCTTGGCATTGATGTGTATTGTATCTCAGAAACGAGAATTCAAGATGCAAGTATAGTGATTGAGCTGTCCGCCCCGTCAGTCTCCATTCGCTTCCGACTGCGCACTTCTGGTGATCCAGAGGCTACTGCGGCGCAATGCGTAGGGGTTGGTATCGCGCTAAGTCACCGGGTGGAAATATCCTTCCTTGGTACCTGTTGATTGTCGACTCCGTGCAGTTCATCGGGCAACATGTGTGAAGGAGTCTCACGAGCGGGAAGTTTGTAGATGTCTGTTTATCGTGTCTGCTTACGCCCCAACTGACTATCTCCGACGCCATCAAAGACGGGTTTGGTGATGCCCTGAGCGCCCTGGTGCGACAACCTAGAAACTCATCGTGGTGGTTGCCGGAGATATGAATGCACAAGTGGGCAGGTTTAGCGTATCGGAGACTCAATTAGGAGGACGACATGGATTGGACTCGTTACGTACTGACACTGGTGAACGATTACTTCAGCTATGTGCTGATCGCGGGCTGTTTTTATACAGTACGAACTTCCGAAATAGCCGAAATCGTCTGGCCACTTGGTGTCCTCCAACGGCAGGCTGGCCACAAACTCAAATCGACCACATTGCCATCAGTTACCGATGGCACGGATCCATAACTTACTGCCGGTCGTTTTGGAACACATTTGTGGACTCTGACCATGCGCTCGTCCGGAGTCGCTTCTCCCTATTTTTCCCAGGACCGCGTAAGGTGCGGACAAATGGCTTGGCATCTGAACGACTGACAGATCCGGGTGTTAGGCGAACTTACTAGAATCGTCTTCTAGAGTCTGTTCAAATGCCCCACCATCAGATGTGAACTCATACTGGGACTGAGAATTTTACGTATGGCACGGCACCACCTGGGTCACTCAAGTACTGCATATCAGAGCGAACAGTAGCACTGCATGTGAAGTTTGGCTTGCAATCCGACCGTGAGGTGTGGTGAGCACAGAAAGCCAATGAAATGGAAGAGGCCCAGAAAGCCGGTAATGCTCGAAGATTATTTCAGTTGATCCATTCTGGCGTTCTTCGGAGCCCATCTGTAAGCTAAATTATCAAGGATCGGAAGGGAGTAAACATCTCAGATAAGGAAGAACGCCTCAACTGATGCGCCGAATACCTCGAACAACAATTGTTATGGCCACCAGCTGGGACCCATCCTGTGCCCACAGGTGACGTAGAGCCGTGGGTGCTGAACGTGGAACCGCTTACGGCCTAGGAGATTTGACTGCACATACTCGTGAGCGCCACCAAGACTCGGGTCCCGATAACCTCTCTGACGTTTAGAATGTGTCCGGGGACGAGTTAAAACAGACTTGGGGTTTTCGAGAATGAGCAATGTTTTACTTGTCTAAGAGCAAGCGTACATGAGCTGAAATGAACATACAAAGACTCAGTAAGAGGATATATGGTAAGTATAAAAATAAGCACACAAAAATCATGACATTCATCCCGACAGTGTTTGAATAGGCACATATGAGCTGACGTAGACAGGAGGTGATGTACTAAATCAAGCTTCTCTGTTCCTCATACTGTAAGGATGAATGCGTCGCTGTTGTTCTAGAATTCCAGGATAACTCGGTTGGTGTTCGGAGGACAGTACCGAAGAAGATTCAGATGCTTGAGAGCTATTGGGCTGATGTCCGGTTATTTCACTCGTATCTGGGTGTTCCTCGATGAGCATGTGTACGTAGTGTGGGTTGCAGTTCAGAAGGTCGACTTCCACTAGTAAACAAATAAAATTGTCGTTCTGCTTTAACACCCTTCAGATGCCTAGCTGCCAAGCCACCCGGTGAAAGCACGAAGTCAACTTCAGCGCGAATGAATTTTTCACCATCCGGATGATGCCTTCTTGATTTGGTTGCAACAGGCTTGCAATCTGGAGACAAGTTGGCGAAGAGTAATGGTGATTCAACGTTTACAGCCGTTAGGCCGCAGATGGTGAGCGCATCACGATCCCCGCCGAGTGAAATTTCTACCTTGCCATGAAGACCTAGAAAGTCGTGCCCGAGTAAAGCGTCGGTGCAAACGTTTTGCGTTACAGAGAGCTTCAGTTCATTGTATGGAGTATCTCCGTATCGAACAGAAACACGAGCGTTCGACAGGATAGGTATGTAGACGCCATTGTGACGACTGAGAAAGTTGGGTAGATTTTCCAATTATGCAGTTTCACGACCTTAGCGTTGAGGAAACTACAAGAATTCCCCGTATGGGCTAGAGCACGGAGAGCGATGCCGTTGACTTCGATAATTGCGATGGCATGTGCCTGGCAGGTAGGAGCTGCTGCAACGAATAGTGACGATAAAGTAGGCTTCGTTGTACAACTTGTATGGAACTTGGTGTTATTTTTTGAACGGCACTCGCGGCAGAAGTGACCGCGTTTACCACGAAGGTTGCAGGCGGCTTCTCGAGTGGAGCACTCTGGACGAGGAAAATAACATGCTGAATAGATTTTACAGCAGCAGTGGTCGGATCAACACGCAGTTCGGGCCTGTTTCATGAAGAGTGGATTAATGCATCAGGCGTGTTTGTTAGTCCTCCTTCATTTCTGCAGTATCGTATTATGCACTTTCCCACTTACCGCCTTTAAATACCCGGACATCCAGTCTGCTTCTAAGTTCTCTGCCTCTCGACTTTCTCTGTCTAGGCTTGGGCAACCTGACAGTGTTTTAGCCCTCATGTCTCCTTCGGGTGGCATGGCAGCTAGGCACCGAAAGGGTGTTGCAGCTGAACGATTGAGTTCTCCAAGGATTCCTGTCGGTCCGTCTGTCATGACATCTGTGTTCATCTCAACAATTAAGCCACATCACCATCAGCCGAATCAGCCACGCGATCTCACACCACCTGGTATCAGATGATATACCAATCTGCCCTGTTTTCTCACGACACACCTCGTACCCTAAGGCGTTGATCAGTTGATTGTCCGATCGGGCAGCAACGAACTGTTCACTGCATTTAGGTTACTTGCAGATCATTGCAAGTATGCGGTGTTATGTGCCATTGGTGTATTATTATCGAGTTTATAGTGATAATGAAGAGGTTAGCGATGAAGTCGATGGATTGTAAAACTTATCGTGAGTTGTTTAAAAAGTTATCTGTGGAAATGGAAAACGATCAACGTAGATTACTTCTTAGTAGCTCGCTGGCTAAGGCGCGAATCGGAAGGTCCAGGGTTCGAGTGCTTCTGTTAATACTTGGGCAACTGGAGAGATCTCCACCCTCGTGCTTCCTCCGAGTAGCATGGCGGCTCTGTACTGGCTGATTGCTTGTTTATTCAAAGGATTGTATCGCTGATATGTCAATATTTTGGTTTGACTTTTCAGCTTTGCACACAGCGCATCCATGAGCGAACAGATCACGAACAAGTTCGTAGAACTTCATGTGCGTTCGGATAGAGAAGTTGAAGATGTTTGTGCTGCAGAGTGTTGCCGGGTGAACAGTGAGGATGAGCTCATTAAAACGAACCCTTGGAAACCAGGTAAGTTCCAAATATTCCCCTAAGACCACTTAGTTTCTGCGACCGAAAATAATGCCCTCGAAGCCGAAGCTTGGCCTGAACCATCTGCTCCAGGAGAACAGAGGCGCACAGTTGGATTTCGGCAGTTCGAAGAGAAACCAAAACGTAGGTTTTATTCAGTATGCTTTCGTTACTTTCATTAGGGAAAATAAAATGGCAGAACTTCGACGTGGATCACTCACCTTGTGGATTTTCCCGTGGTCGTGGGCGACCTTCTGCTCCCTCGCACTTTTATGGTTCAGCACCAGTTTATACTTTTCGTCGAGGTACTGCATGTTGTTTTCCCTAATTCGTTCTTAGGTGGAACTAGTTTCCGAGGTCGGCTACCCTTGGATACTACCCGCGGCCGTGGGAGCGGTGCATATCTCCCACGACATCCTAGCCGTGCACCAGCTGTTCGCCCACCGATGGAACCCGGGGAAGGGCCTTCAGAGAAACCGATAGCGGGCGCTTCAAGTGATCAAAATTATGTTCGTCACAAGTCAGAGGCAACTAGTCAAGAAGATTCAGTTACCCGGTCATTTGCAGAAGCAGATGAAAAGCCGCCGGACTACCGGCGGATGTCAACTAATGGTTTAAGCGTCATGCCTGGTTGCATATCCGTTACTGCTATGGCTGATACAACACAGTCCGAATATTCTAGTGAGCCTCAAGTGACTCGCCCTGTTACGGCTAGTCAGAACACGATTACTTCCAAGCGTTCCTACCGTGATCGTACGTTCACTGCCGCTCCGGCGCAACAAGGTCAGTCTTTCAATGGTTCGACTGCAACTTATGAGGCGGGACCAGCTGGACGCGCTAGAAGATCATACCTTAGACAACATCAGCCACTTTTTTCGGCGGAACAAGGACCCACGTCAACACAACAATCACCGATTTCGAGTCACAACGTTCAACCCCTTTTACCGTTCCAGCCGTTGGTACCATGTAAGTAGCCTTTCTTAGCATAACTTTCAACGTTCCCGTTAATAATCCACGGAGAATTGTTTCGCCTGAAAGACAAGACTACAGACTATAATACTGGGGAGTGTTGGTCAGCTAACTCATATCTTTATTATTTTGCGGTGAAAGTGATCGCATGGGTACTTTAGGCTGAATGGCACTCATCTCCCAAAGAATCAAGGGTCCCGTTTATATTAAAACACTAGAGGTAGAGTTCGGGTGGAGGAACTTATTTGTTCTGATCAGCTGTGTTCGCGCATTACGAAGTCCAGGAATGGTCGTGCCTCGTCCAATGGTTACTTTGAGCCCAAGTTTTGAACTTCCCTTAGCTTGGGATAGCTGAGTACTTAAGAGTTCACAGGAAGAATGCAAATCGAAGCCAACTCCTATATTTGGACTGCTGCTGTTTGGGCAACTCGACAGTATCAGCCTTCATGCCTCCTTCAAATTGCGTAGCAGCTATAGCCTCAAAGTTTGTCACAATCTAGGCGTTTCATTTATCCACTCCGTCTACTCTTCATGTCGGATTCTGGTTTAGGTGAAATTTGGATGTATTTTGTCTGTAGATGCATTGCCGTTCCTCAACGGTGCATCTATTGCTCAGTTGCGGTAGATGAACTGTATAAACAAGTCAGTCATATCTGCGAAAACCAAGCATTTGCCTTGTGTTTTTAAAAGTAGGGCACTGGATTAGGATCTGACAAACTCGGGTGGAGGGAAGGAAGCACGAGGACTGGTATACTGCCAGCTTACCCAAGCCCGGACAGAAGTCGAGATGCATAGGTCGGATTAGAACCACAGACCTTCCAATCAGTAAATTTGTGCTCTAACAACTGAGCCATTTCGGGTGGAGAATAGAGTGTGTCGTCGAGTTGAGTGACTTGCGCTCGTGCTTAGGTGTTATTCATTGGTCAGGCACTTGATAATGATAAGCTCTTTACCGGCTTTCGATACTAACTCATCGATGTGACCACACCATATCCGGTAATTACGATCTCTCGTGCGAACAGTCGAATTTAGGTGCTATCTCAGTTTCACTTTTTTCTCTTGTCCAGTTACATATATCATTCCCGGAACGTCCGCGGTGAGCAATTCCTTTTGGGGCACGGGAATCCAACTGGGTCCATCATTTGGTTCTACAACTCTGGGTGTCCCTGGTAATCTCACTGCCGTTTTGGGAGTAAACCAGTCTCATTTGGCTTCGCAGTCGAATTCCATGACCATCGTACCTAACATACCAACCGAATTGCCCGTAGGTTTGGTGACAGAATTGAATCCACTTCCTCAGCCTATACAGCCTATTCAACGGGTTCCACCTCACGCATCACCTTTTGATCCGTATCTAAAGAACTCACTGAGCAACAGCGATGTCCACGTGGAAGTTGTGGATGTGAGCCAGATGGTATCATTTATTAACAACGCCGGTTGGAACAAGGTTGTATTTCCAAGCAGCCTCAAAGAGCACCCTACCATAGCTTCTGCCATCCGGACAGCCTTTGCTGCTGAACCTGATGCAGTATGTCCGTCAGATGAGGGAGCTGCTACCCAGATCAACGGAGGTGACTCTGCTTCTAACAGGAGCATCAAACCGGATGACGTGGTGATTGTCGATAACTGCGTTTTCTTCGTTCCTCGTAACGCCAGTCGAACAAAGTTTCTAAAGTTCGTTTCAAAGTCGGATTACATCAGGCATCATGTGTGAGTCCTCCTTTTGTAATTCAATAATGTACTGAGCCACTTTCCGATAGTTACTTTGTCTCGTGTAATTCCGTTTCAAACCACGTCTTAACGTGAAGAACATTCGTTAAGCTGTAGCATTTGCAACGAAAACAACCTCCACCTCGTAACTGTTCCTTAGGGACTCCCACAATTCGTGTCTTGAGCCTGGACTTGCTGATAGCCATTAATTCGGCTGGGAAGTGTAGTGTTAACGGTGTATAGCTACAAGCACTCCATACCCCTCTAAGGGGTATTTTTTTTAACCCCTCTAAGGTCGCCACTGCTTGGTCCGCTCCAATCCCTAAATCGATGTACGGTTGCACCGGTTCTGTTTGTCCATGGCTACTTTCATTCTGGTTGCCAATTGGCGTTCGATTTGTTTAAAGGTGAGCGAGTCGTAGACAGCGGCCTGCTCCGAATATGAACTTTCCAACCAGGTCTCAAGTGTACATGACGGCTTTTCTGAATAAAAAACGAGGTTTTAAACATTTTTGTGGATATAGTCCAGTGTTTTTTCATCCGTGCACCATGAATCGGGCAAATTAATTGATCGTCATAATTGGACCGTGATCACTTTCATCCATTTTCACTCTATTTTTCTCGATTCAGAGAGTATTACTTCAGTCCATTGAATCTCAACCGAGACACGCATCTGGCATCTATTTTGAAGTCCAACCAAGGGTTGTGTCCAATTGGTGATTTGCTTCAGTTCAACCGTCTGCGATGGGTGGGCACGTCGGAATCGGAGTTGTTGACAGCGATATCAACGAGCAGTCTACTATCAGTCACTTACTCCAGCGATGGTCGACCCACTGCTATCAGACACATGTCGACTTTTGCTACGGAGGATGCCAGTTTCCAGTCCGAAATTACCTTATCCCAACGGTCGGAGAATGTTCGCTTGTCTTCGAACATCACGCAGAACGGTACTGAAAAGAATGACGCGGCCGCTTTGTCAACGGATTCCTCGCAACCCACCAGCCGCGGTCATTCGATTTCCGACGAACTCGGCAGTACCTCGGGGTCATCTGCTACACGCAGTGGCTTCACCTACTCTGTCGTTCCTGCTTCGAATCATCTTCAGTTGGTTCATGCACCTGGTAACTTCCCGGCTGGTGGTATGCCCTTCTGTGGACAGAACGCAATCAATCCCGCTGTTCAGTGCTACCAAAGAAACGAAGTTCCTGGCCTATCAAACCCATCATTCTCTCCACCAACTGCCTTTATTCAGGACACTTTGTCTTCCCAGCAGGCAACGCTACTTTCGGTGGCTGCTGCTACTGCCAGTCCTCCCGTTCAACCCGGTCTTTCTGCTTCTGGGTTACATTCTCCCGATGCTTCGTCAACCCTCGCTCCCGCGCTGTATCGTATTGCACCCGCCGGACATCTTCCATACATTCCCCAAATAGCTGGTAACACGGGCTTTTCTTTAGCCCCGAACTCCACTGTTTTGTTCCAGTTTCTTCCAGCCACTCATGCTATGCAACATGGAGGTTACATAATCCCGGCGGGAGGTGCCAATGCAACCCCAGTTCTCAACCGCCCAGCGGGATCTATTAATCCAACTGGCTTGTGGATTCCGTTGGTTACTGGTGGGACACAGCCTGCTACATCTGTTTCATCGCCTCAGAATACGTTGCTCACATTGCCTCCCGGTCCGGTTGGTTTGCCTACCGTGTCTTCCTCAGGCGGCAGTATGGTCCTTCACTCGGTGGCTCCCCCTCCCCCGACAACAAATTTAGTAGCATTTCCAAACGTGGAACCTATCTACTCAGGTCACCCCGATCAAAAATCGCCCGATATTTCTCAATCTCACATTCAGCACATACTCCCGAATTTCTATTATTCCACCAACGCATCCGTTGGACTAAACCACCCTAACTTACCCATTGTGAACGAACTGAAACCGAATCCTGTTCACTCTCAAGTTACAAAACTTCCAGGGAATCAAACCTCTCTTCCCTTTTCCACTGAAGCGGTAACCACCACAGGATCACACACACGTACCTCAACGCACTCCACTCCAAACAAATTGCCCATCGCTCTCCGCCTGTGAAAGTCTTTCTGACCATCTTGCCACTGTAAATATGATGTATATAATGTGCCTTCTTAGAGTTCCGAACCCTTGCAGTTACTGTTTTTACGGTAGTGTGATCATCCACATTCACTTGTTCTCCTGTCTCGCACGACTGTTACCTGGTTCCACATTTACCCACGACCATTCTATTATTTTCCCTGTGCCTTAATCATATATTGGCAGTTATTTTTCTACCTCGGTTTGTGCCCTCATCTGTATATTTTCGTGCTGCACTCAGACACCCTTTCCATCTTTCTCACATTTAATCCAGCTAAACCCCCATAGAATCACCCAGTCTGTGATAGCTGCGTCTGATGACATCCAAAATGACCAAACCACTACGTTTCAGTTGTGCACTTGTGTGTAGATTTCATCTGAAGCTCATTGCCAACTAGATGAAATAGCTGCTGTCATGAGTAACATCGTACCCGACGATTTTATTCTTCCAGTTAGATTTTCCACCTTTTAGTTGCACATCAGTTCGGCATTTTCCCGAATTAGACTTAATCCCAAGGTCATGTGATTCTGGTACTCATTCCTCTCCACAAGCTCGCCAATCCAGGGAACTGAAGTGCACTTGTGAAATCAGTCTTCCTAGGTTGCCGGACGAAACTGAGTGATTTTCCTTTCTAGTTTGCATCTTATTACTGTTAGCTAATCATTATAACTATTACCAATACCATTGTTGACTGTCAACATAATGCTCATTCCGGCAGTAGGATTTCAGTCTCGTCTGTTTTTGTACATATTTTATCTCCCATCTGCGCTCATCCTGTGTGTATGTTTAGGTTGTTTGTTATTTCCGTTTGTCACGCGTAGGCTGTTTGCACGTGCGTCATATCTATCTGAACCACCAAATGCTTCACTCACCGCTCGTCCTGTTTGCTACTCTTGCATCATTTTCCTACCGTTGATTTTATTTTGATCCCCGTGAAGCTATCTTACCAAACGAGAAAAAAACACCCCTCCAATCGGTCTGTTTTTTTTTCAGAGCACCAGTGCGATGTCGTTATAATGATACCAATATCACTGGACCCAAACCTAGGGGTGCTTTGTTGCGCACTTCTTCGGTATTCATTCGGACTAAGTAGGAGATAGGGATGAAGTCAATAGGGGTCAGTTTTGGTTCGGTGTATCATGAAGCTGTCCACGGCAATTAGTGGGTAGGAATCTCTACAAACAGTGACGATTTAACTTTTCTCAGTAATAGACATCTGATGCGATGACGAACGAATTCTCACTGGAATCTCTAAGTTTTAGAGTTACTTGGTGTAAGCCTTTGAGGTTTTCATATGCTAAAACAACACTTATTGGCAACCGACTTGTCGCATCCTCGCACATCGGTTTACGTATTGCGTTACTCCCTGGTAAATTGAAACGCCACTGAGTCTCCTTTCGTTCAGAACTTGGTCGGCTGATGTCACTTCAGTTATTCCTACTCACTTTACACCAGCAGTTAGACTGATGGTTGTGGCCGTGGGATTTCATTCTAAGATCATTTGTGCTTTTGATTGTGATATTATGAGCTGTCACTGCTTAAATCCAATAGATCTTCATTCGATTAATTGCCTTGTCAACATCCTGGAAGTGGGAACCCTCAGGATCAACAAAACGAGTGTGTTCCGACCGGGTCTCTTATATCTAATCTCAATCGGATCAACGTCTGTATATGTGAGTGCGTTTCGGGGCTATAAACCAATGTCATTGATCGACGGCCGTATCTTCAAATTAGGTTTTCAGTCCATTGGAAACAATAACTCACTGCGAGTCATCGATTACCCTTACAATAGACGGTTATTGAGGTCACTGAGATGTTTGTCGATGCTGGTGACCATTAACTTCTGTTGTGCACTAGGAAGTTTGTTATCTTCCAGCTATGTAAGCTCAGCTAGTACGCTCTGTTTCGCGAATACTTATTTGCAATACCAGCTCCCTAACTCGGCCAATCGATGTGGCATCAAACACCTATGAGTATTTTTCTTACCTATTGACTGATCGGTAACAAGCCACTTTTGTGGCAATAGAAGTCCTCAGGCGACGGAATGATTTTCGTTCTATCACATTTCCCTAGGAGATCAGAGGAAGCTGAACCGGAAATAGGCTTGCTTAGATAGTGCCCATTATGTGTTTTTCCCGGTCACCTAATTTGTCCAAATATGATCGATGCCTTCTCGATAAACGGTAGCAACTTAGCACGGCAACAACTCGAGGGTGGGATCGCCAATGGACACTCATTCTCACGGTGTTGCGTCAGCTCTTTGCCGATTGCTAATTGCCGTCGATGGCATCCCTTCCTCTGTGGGGATGTTCCAGAGGTGAGTGGACAACTTCAGCTCCAAACCTATCCCTTTTTGGTGAGTTCTAGTAGTGTGTTGGGGTATTGGTAGCTCGGGTGTATTCGTAGGCAGTTGATCAGGTGGCTGTTGATCTGTTTACCGGTCTTGGCAATTTACTTGCGGACATTTCGTCACCATTCGGGAGGGTATCGTCAACAGTACATTGGTGAACTCTCCTCGAATGGTAACGTAGCACCTGTAAGTCCATCGCCAATTCCGGCGGATGGATGAACAGCCACCTGATCAGCTACTAATTGGTGAGCTTTGTTGTCCCACACAGATGGTGTTAGCCGAGTAACTAGTATTAAGCCGCGATCAACGGATAAAGTGACAAACAATCACATTCTCTAAATACAATGTGTGCAATCTGGTTATCACAACAGCAGGGAAATCAGGAAGCCGTTCCGCAGTGTAACATCCTGCAACTCCGCTATTCTGACTGGTAGTTGGTCTTTTCACGTCTAGCTCTCAACGGAAGCAATGAATTGGGTCAACTCCTGTAGAAATTTATCATCGCGCAGTGGTCAACGGCAAATAATGCGTGTGAAAGGTGGGGATCAATTAGTTGCTTCAGTTTGTGAGACGAGTTCTATGAATTTCAGAACTGATTGAATACTAAAGCAAGTGAACCTGGACACATTGATTGGAATAACGCAGCATGAAGAAAACCGAAATATCTTTAAAATGGGAATTCCTGTGCGATAGCACAGGAATCTTCGCAGGAGTTCTAATGAGGATCGCTGATAGTAATGGTGACACTTGTCGGTTATTTGGTGAATTTAATCTGATTGGGAGAGTATCCCTGGATCCCTTCGTAATTTTTGGCGAAGTAAGGGGAGTAAACGAAGTAGCGTAGGCCTGTTTATACCATGAACTCTCATTCGCTCAAGCACACGAATGACAATCACCAGGCTCGGCGAGTAGTTAGGCTATCATCTGCCCAACTAACCCACACTTAAACGTTACTGACAAATTAGTTCAGCAGTAGCTCACCATCTGACGCCCAATATCCTTCGGAACATAGGGAGCCTTTCCGACAAGGCCCCATCTCCGGACAGCTGACTGAACTGAATTAACCTTGATTGTGATCGGTCGCTTGAAACTCAATTTAATTTCTGTACTGAAAGGTGTTATTGGTTCGGGCTGTATGGATGTGTGCGCTGCCAATTTGGCACAGTGTGTTGTCAGCTCGATTGGTGACGAGACTTTGCATCCAACTTTTTTTAGTTCAGTGAGTAGCCACTTAATTAGCCCTATTTACGCCTTTTCGAACTCACAGCGCAATAGTTTTTTCTCAGTTGGTATCCGCTCCTGGCTATTCATGTCCCTGAATACCGCGCTTTTGCGGATGCTGGCCACAGTGTATTCTGCAAATAAAAATAAAAGAATGATAGGCTAACGTTTCAGAGGGGTTTGGTAAACGATCGGCGGATTTATTGCTGGGCAACGTTTCGCTTTTGACACAAGCTTCGTCAGGCCAAGTGTCCACCGAGGGTGTTCTGGCGTTATGTAGATGACACGTTCGTTGCGATAAAACAGGAATAGGTGAACGAATTCTTTCAACATCGGAACACATTGGACCCTCACATTAAGTTTAGCATGTAGCTGGAGTCCGTATCGGGTACACTAGCTTTCCTTGACTGCATGACACACAAGAGTGGTGGGAAATTAAAAACCACTGTATACCGGAAATCAACAGATAGCGGTGCGGTCTTAAACTACTCTGCACGTCCAAAAGCAGTATATGCTAGCATAGCCTCAGCGATGTTTAGGAGCGCGAGAGCACTGTGTACAGAGGAGGTGAACCGAAGAGTAGCACAAATTTAGGTAAAAAAGTGACTTCAAGATAGCGGATACCCAGTGGGTCTAATTAAGCGGCAACTAAGACGGGTATTGGTGCCAACACCAAGGGCCAACAAAGAGTGGATCGGAACAGCGATCATTCCATACAAAACAGGAACATCTGAAGTCATTAGAAAGGTACTAAATACAGCTAATATTAGAGTAGCAGTCTAGAATGGGAAGACTTTAGGCTCGGTGTTGGTGCATTTAAAGGATCGCCTTCCGGTTGATAGGGCTAGGAACTGTGGGCACAAACTAAAATGTAACGACTGTACGAAGGTGTACATAGGCTAGACAGCCAGGGAATTGCACACCAGAATCGTTAAGATTCACACCACAGCGACTGGTGGCCGAGCCGGTGGAAATCGCCACGCATCCCAGTGTGAATAGAATAGAGGAGGTAGAACTTGCAAACGTGTGGAGAGCGGTCCTAGGTCAGCCGTGCGGTGCAATCAGCGGTGTGCAATTATCAGCGAAATCGCCTGGGTCTAAAAGTACAAATATCCAAGTAGAGTTAGATCCAATTAACTATCCCATCCCCAAACCATTGTCCCAGCACCCTTGGACGAACACAGGTGAACGACCCCGAGAGGAATTTTCCATTAAGGTGTCCTAGACTGAAGAAGCAAGGACGAAGAAATCCGGGTTCATCATAAAGACCCCCCCCCTAACCAGTCCATCGTAAATCTTAGTCATCCCCACTAATCAACAAACAGGAACATCAGACTGAACACCCAGCACTGATCACGTCACTAGTCATAAGGAACCTCACGCATTGGTTCTCTGATTGCCGTAAAACCCAATCAACCCACTTAGTTACTTAATTGGCCTGACGAAGCCTCTGTGTCAAGAGCGAAACGTTGCCTAGAAATAAATCCACCGATTGTTTACCAAAACTCTATGAAACGATGACTTCCCAATCGGTCCCAAACATTTTCCAATTGAATGATAGGCTAACTTTTTTTGACGCGGTCTTTTCCCCGGTCGGGTCGTGAGTTGTTTAAACTCTTCATAGATTGGCGCTTCTGAACTGCTTGCAGTGCAGGGTGCATTTTGTCAGTGTGACCCATCACTTACAGTTTTATCAAGCTTCCTGTCTGCGGAACAACTATGCAGGTCTCATTTGGCACTCAATGCATCGGTCGATTACTCCAAGATCCAAACTTCACCCTTGCGATTTACGCACAGGGTAGTCTGACGATTAGCCGACATGCTCAAATGTTTGTCCAATTTGGGTTGAACCATCCCACAGAGACCATTTTGGATGGGTCATCTGAAACCCCTATCGATTCTTGGGACTGAAGAGCCCCTCCAGCCACTTTTCATGGTCTTCAGAGAGGAATAAAAAGCATCTTATCCGCCAGTCTACCTCTCCACCAGGTATCGACATTTTGCCACGGCTATGGGATTTTGACATTTCATACAAAAAATAAGGCATTTATGGTCTTATAACTTTGTATCCAATCGCATGCGAGGCATACGACAAAGTAGTGACAGGTCCAGTCGCTAGTCCCATTCTTATGGAGCAACATTATGTGGCACTTAACGTTGGCATGACTAGGACATTTTTCCGTACACAAGTCACCCGCAGTCCCCTTCGGATATGCTGGTATCATATTGTGCTGGAGGACGTGCTGTAAAATCCCTGAAACGTCAGTGAATTAGTAGACAAGACCCGTGGGGTGAGATGGCTGAAGTAGTTAGAGCGCGAATTTACTAACCGGTAGGTCTGTGGTTCGAGCCCGACCTCTGCCTCTACTTCCTCTCTCTAGGCTTGGGCAACCT